CATGTCTGGCACCATTCTTCCACTTCTCGCCTCATACCTAACCAATAAAATCTTTGTCGTAGATGACTCAATGTCTTCCTAATTCCGAGATGTCCTCCTGTTACAGTATCATGTGATCGACGCAGCACAGCTTCCCGTAACTTCCTCGGTATAACCGTTTGCCAGGTCGTCACTTTCCCATCTGCAGTTTCCCATCTCCGGAGAAAAATACCATCTTCAAGCCTCAACTGGTCCCATTGTGCCCAATAGTTCTTTGTCACGTGGCTTAGACTAGACACCTTCTCCCAAGCAGGGTGCAAAACACTTGCTTTTAGAAAATCAATCATTGGCTTCAAATCTTGGTCTTTCTCCTGTTCTGACATGATATCTCTATTTGGTTCCACTTCACCATCATCAACTCTTTCAGTCGGCTTAACTTCAGCTTGATGACACCTGGTTAGTGCCACCTCTGTTTTGCAGCAATGTCTGCAGTCATTTTTGCAGGTTCTTTGGCTCAGTCCATCAGCATTACCATGGGACTTTCCTTCTCTATATTCAATAATATAATTATACTGGTCTATTTTCCCGATCCAACGTGCTAGTTGTCCCTCTGGGTTCTTTAATGATCTTAACCAGCGTAATGCAGCATGGTCTGTCCTAATGGTAAACCTTGTACTATAGAGGTAAGGGTGGAAATATGTCAGACTCTTTACTATAGCAAGGAGTTCCCTCCGTGTTACACAGTAGTTCCTCTCTGGTCTACTGAAAATCCTACTGAAGTAGGTCACCACATGTTCGTTTTCGCCCACTTTCTGAGACAACACTCCTCCAATTCCGACATTACTAGCACCACAATCCAGTATGTATGGCAGTGAGGGATCTGTAAGCTTTAAAAGTACAGCAGAAGCCAATTTTTCCTTCAACGTCTTGAAAGAATGCTGGACTTTTCCGGCCGAGGTTGGTACAGTCATCTGGATTCAAGGTACCTCTGTGCTGGACTTAACGTAGGATTCAAATTCGAGAGCTCTGGCCATTGCAAGGAGGCATGGTAGAGGGGTGTGCTTGCTTCACTTGTATCTTAAGTTGTGGACTGTCAAAGGCATCTACGAACTGATCCCTCAGCAACAACTTGAGGAGATCGGGTGGTGCAGTTGGGTAGGCCTTGTGTGCCATGCTTTCCACGTCCTTTGCCAGCTCTTGCAGGCTCTCCCCTTTAGCACGGATTCTCGTCCTAAACCTAGCCCTGTAGACTTCCGACTGATTTTGGGTTCCGTACCTGAGTTCTAGAGCCGCTACTAGTGCTCTATAATTGTGCCTGTCGTCTGCTGACGACTGTCCAAGTATTTCCAGTGGTTGTCCTTTCAAGCTCGTTGCCAGATATACTGCTTTCTGCTCTTATGTCCATCCATTCATTTTTTCCAGTAGCTCAAATTGTGCTCTATATGCTTCCCACGGTGCTTTCCCATCGTATTCCTATGGCTTCCTTCTTACTGAATCACTCCTATTACTGGCATTCATATCTGAGATGTGACTTCTAATTGGACTGAATATATCTGCATTAGGGTTTAGCTGCAGGGTCTAGATAGGGCTTGTCATTGTTTGGGGCTAGTTAAGTCGATGGTTAATGTAACCTCCTTGTGTAAAAGACAAAAAGTCGTCCTTTA